GATGCATTTCAGAAAGGCGGGGCATAGAGGAGAAACTATAATGTACAGTATGTGGGAAATAATGTGTTTTTTTTTTACCTTAAACAAACACATTGCATTACACCAAATACACAAAATAATGTTCTTTTTAGCAACGTCATATGACCCCTTTAAATATTTTGAGATTTAATTTAAAAACTAAATTTTTTAAACATTGCCTTAAAAAGCACATCAAAAAGAGTGCTTTAAGTTTTATTTTTAACTGTAGAAGCTGCTAAACCCTCCAGGACCGAGTTTGGACAGCCCTGTGCTAAATATATTCAGCCAACACAGACTTGTTGCTGCTGTAGTTTTGTTACCCTGAATGACTTAATGCACAGCTCTATTTTGTCATCGGTTTGTTAGATAGTTCGTCCATTGCTACAGTTATTACTGTCAATCATAGTAATGACTCACAGAACAATTTAGTGGATTCACTCGCGTAATTTTTTACACTCACGTTTGTCATTCCACTGGATCTACACAAATCACACAAATGACCCATTTTGAATTCAAAACTGCGAATTTCGCCGAAAGGTGACAAGTTTGCATCCCTGAAAGTTAAAGACCCGAATCTTTACCATCGGCCATGGTCAGCGCCTCCATGACTTTGACAGGCAGAGATGATCCGAAAGTCTGAATGTCAAAATTATGCGAATCGAGGGCTGCATGACTCTGAACTCGGGTGGGAGTGGATCTGGAGAAAGAATAGAGATGCACAAATCAATTAAAAAAATAATAAAGTGAACTATAAAAATAAATAAAGTGAACTATAAATGGTCATATTCTGATTTTATTTAATTTATTTATACAAGCTACCTTTTTTTCTTTAAAAAAAAAAAGCCTATTTGTTTTAAAGTTAAGAACAATTTCATAATTATTGTACATTTGCAAAACATGTAAAATAAATTCAGATACAATAATAGGAAAATTACATATCTTACTTTATTATTTTATAATTAATAGAATAAAATATATTAAATATAAAGAAATTAATTTAAAAATTATATGTAATTAAATAATTGATTTTACTACAAGACTCTATAATAAACTTTACAAAAATACCGTGACGGTATCAGACGGTAACGTTACTGTCACATGTAACACAATGCTGAAGAATTATCATATTTATGTAACGTTTCCATGGTATTTATTTGGTACTGAAAACAATATCGTGGTGTATGTTTAAAAAAGCATAGTAGCATGGTAAGTTTAGCATCTCCCGTCTGTGTGTTTACTCTGTTTTACCTGGCTGTGACAGCGGAGCGGCGTGGAGAGAACAGCAGCCCGGGCTGAACGGCACTCACGCTCTTCCGACCACCGGTCCGGGGCGCCTGTCTGCGGCCTGAGCTCGGTGTGCCGCGGGGAGTGAACATACTGGGCTGGCAGCCTGTTTACAAGGGACGGAAACTCATTCGCGATAAACGTTGGAAACCTTTTACCGCGCGCTCGCTACAGTCGGTCAGGCGCACACAATGCGCGTCATTCAAATGCGCATGCGCTCTTGCTGCTGATCTGCGATAAAACTGATTCTGGGTCAGTGTTACAGAACAAGCGTTTGAAAACCACTCATCGACTAGGATTGGTGGCTATTTCTCGCAGTAGTATAAAGGGATAATGTAGTTTCAGATTTAAATATGTTAACTAGTAAAATGTTGCATATTATTATAACTCAGGTGTGTCTGCGCCAAAATGTATCCATCTCAACATTATATTAAAAATAATTTCTTCTTTATTTCTGTACTTTAAACTACAACGAAAACATATCTCTCCTTTATCAGTCTTCACTTTTAACAATAATATTAATAATAATAATAAGTAATACAAATAACACTTAAAATATTATTTGTCTTTTTATTTATGTATACATTTTGATCTTATTTATGTTTTTATTTTATATATGTGTATTTATTTATTTATTTTTAACTGACGGGATGTGAATTTAAGGTCATTGCAAGGCAAATGTATTTTAACTGTCTCATTAAATAAAAATAAGTGCACCTTACAGTTATTAATTTAAAAAGATCGTGACTTAATAAATATGATGTTATAATTATAATAATATTTAATTATGTAATTACCATAATTTAATATAAGGTAACATGTCTTTATATCTTCAACTTCATACTTAAATATATGTATAAGACAAACAAATCAATACACAAATACAAAAAAGTAAGCTAGCCGACGGAATTTCGAAAATATCTATGGTTATATATGCGGTCGTTGCGCTAGATGGCAGTGTAGCGCCTGCGGACCCAGCGCACTCTCAGTGGAGGCGCAGAAGAAGAGTGAGCAGCGGTGAGGGGCGGCAGTCTTCTCCTGAACTCCTCGTTCATGGCTTAAACCAGCGCTTTTCTCCAGGACTGTCATATACGGAGCGTGCAGTAGGTGTTTAACAGCTTTACTAAACTGTAAAACAGATCTAAAGCGCTGCGAGTCGAGTGTATTTGAGATCAGAGTTTGAGAATGAGCTCAGTGACTGAGGCCGCGCGTATATTTGACCTGCAGGATTCTGAGCAGTCTTGATTTATTTCATAAATCTTACCTGAAGATAACTAATGAATTGATATGTGGCTGCATGGCGCAGAAATTAACCTGCTTTTCCTGTCTGTGTCTCAAATCATAATGAGTTACCTACCTAGGCAGCTATTTGAGACATTACAGACGCGTTGAAATTGAACGTCCGAGTTGAATCGAATGATCGAGCACTCTTATGATTCCCTGAAATCAACTCAAATATTCGAGCACTCTTATGATTCCCTGAAATCAAATAAATGTAATTTATGATTCCCTGAAATCAAATAAATGTAATTTATGATGCCCTAAAATCAAATAAATTATTCGAGCATTCTTATGATTCCCTGAAATCGAATCAAATATTCAAGTATTCTTATGATTCCCTGAAATCGAATCAAATATTCAAGTATTCTTATGATTCCCTGAAATCGAATCAAATATTCAAGTATTCTTATGATTTCCTGAAATCGAATCAAATATTCTAGCATTCTTATGATTTCCTGAAATCAAATCAAATATTCTAGCATTCTTATGATTTCCTGAAATCGAATCAAATATTCTAGCATTCTTATGATTTCCTGAAATCGAATCAAATATTCATTCAAGCATTCTTATGATTTTCTTATGATTTCCTGAAATCGAATCAAATATTCATTCAAGCACTCTTATGATTTCCCGAAATCGAATCAAATATTCAAGCATTCTTATGATTTCCCAAAATCGAGTCAAACATTCATATTGATATGATTCCCAGGTGTGTTTTGAGACAGGATTCAAGTGAATGCTGTGAATCCAAGCATTAGTCTATATGTTGGATATTTTTTCCCGCATTGCGCACCATTAATGGCTGCTGTGAAGAGAGATATATGACACTATGTTTGTGTGTTGCATGTCTCCCATCAGGAGATGAAGCGGGTGCGGACGGAGCAGATCCAGTATACGGTGACCCAGTACCTGAAGAGGAGGCAGTATATAGACACAGATGGGTCTCTGAAGGGGGCCAAACTCTCCCAGTCTGCTGAGGAGATGGCAGCCAGTCTGACGGGTGAATCCTCTTTATATGAACATGGCTAACTCTAAACGATAGTAACAGCGATGCTCATCTCGTCTCTCTCTTTCTGGCGTGTGCAGTTCAGACGGAGTCCAGCTGTGCGAATGTGGTGTCCGCAGCCCCGTGTCAGTCAGTCCCGCAGCAGTATGAGACCCAGTTCTCCAGACTGCGCTCTTTCCTGCAGGGTGAGAGATGACAGACACATGCTCCTAATGCTTTAATCCATATGACATCTGGGTTTAACAGCTGTTTTCTCTGTTTCAGAGGCAGAAGCACCGTTAGTGAAGGAGGTGAGCGGCGTCTTGTTTCCGCTCTTCCTCTACCTGCACCTGGACATGGCGCGGTGTGGCCTGAAGGGGGCGGTAGACTCGTTTTACAATCGCTTCCACTCATTCTTCCAGCAGGACCCTGAGCAGAAAGCCATGGTAGACCTGCTACGAGGAGTCGTCACGCCTCAGGTCAGTTACTTTACCATTAAAAAGTTGTTTATGATGAGACTGACCAAACTTGATTTGCTATCATTCTTTGTGGCACAGATTTTTAATGCATCAGTAAAGCATCAGTTACTCACCATATGCACAAATTTTGTTCTTAATTGTTACATTAGCACTAAAGCTGCTTCCTGTGTTAGCAAACTAAGAGAGAAAGCCAATGTTTACAATGAAATATTAGTGTACTGCTTTCTGAATACTTTGTAGTGCACACTGTAAACGTAAATTAAAAACATAATTAGCATAACAGTGGGAATTATGCCACAATAAATGTGTCAAACAATAGTGTACTACTTTGTCACATGACCCCATCATATGGAGTGATGTTCAGTTATTCAATTTATATAATATATACTATAGTAAACAAGTGAGGTCAGTTTGATTGAAAATAACTAATTGATAAATTAAAAACGTAAAATGCAGGTCAGATATACTTTGATTTATTAAATATACACTTTTTTAAAGGGGTCATATGATGCTGCTAAAAAGAACATTATTTTGTGTATTTGGTGTAATGAAATGTGTTTATGCGGTTTAAAGTTAAAAAAACACATTATTTTCCACATACTGTACATTGTTTCTCCTCTATGCCCCGCCTTTATATATATATATATATATATATATAATTTTTTTCTAATTATATATAAAATATACACAAATCAAAAAACTAATTTACAAATAAATATAAGTAAATGTAATAGCTGAGTTAAAATACAAGTAAATAAAATATAAAAAGTAAATAAATATTTACACTATTTGCTTGATATTTTTTACTTCTCTCTCACTATAAAATAAAGCAATAAGCCCCAGGAAGCCATGGTTTACAGTGAATTTATAACAGCTAAGGGGCGTTGTTAGACGCGAAGCAGAGTAAAACCCCCTTAGCTGTTATAAATTCACTGTAAACCACGGCTTCACGTGGCTTATTGATTTTATAAAACGGTTATTCCATATACGTAGTTAGGTTTCAAAACAGTGTTCTTCCACCAAACAATGTAGTTCCTCAGAAAAGGTTGTGGTTCCAACAAAGTGGTTGCCGAGCAACACACAGAAGTAAACAAAGGTGTATGTTTGTAGAGTAATTTACAACAGCTTCGAACGCGGCTCAGCCAATCAGAATCGAGGACCGGAACTTTTTTTTTTGTCCTTCCAGGATGTGACCTCAAACCCTAAACTCTGCTCGCTCCTGGATCACAAGTATGTGGTGCATCTGACGGATCAAGCGTACAACTACCTGCTGCGTTACCTGCAGAGCGACGACAACAGCGCCATCTGCTGGGCGCTCAGCACACATGTGCAGGTATGAGCCTCTTCAAATCACCAAGAACTGAATTCAGCGAGGGGATTAGTCAAAGAAAACCAGTTGACCTACATCACAAAGGGCTTTGTTTTCTTTGTAATTAGTATCATTACTCACATGTTGTCTTAGGTGGAGGTGACAGCAGCGCGCCGAACCGACTACCAGCTGTACAGCGCAGGCATAGGAGCAGGAAACACTACCTCCACTTCCTCTTCCTCTGCTGCATGGACTGCGGGGAATGGGTCGGAGGGGGCGGAGCGTGTGGAGGTCACGGCTGGGTTACCTCAGAACGAGGCGGCGCTGGAGGCGTTGCAGGACTGCATAAAGCGCAGTTATTCACACGTGTCTTTGTTTGTCATCAGGCAGATGATGAGGATGACTCAGGCAGTGAGATAAAGACCCTGCGCGCTCACAGCGGCCCCGTGTACCGCACTGCGTTCCTGACGGACGGCTCCGGCCTGCTGTCCTGTTCAGAGGACTCCACCGTTCGCTTCTGGGACCTGAACAGCTTCACGAACACCGTCCTGTACCGCGGCCACACTTACCCCGTCTGGGACGTGGACGTCAGTCCCTGCAGCCTGTACTTCTCCACGGCGTCCCACGACCGCACCGCGCGCCTCTGGAGCTTCGCGCGCACCTATCCGCTGCGTCTGTACGCCGGACACCTCTCCGACGTCGACTGCGTCAAATTCCACCCCAACTCCAACTACGTGGCGACGGGCTCCACGGATAAAACCGTGCGCCTGTGGAGCACGCAGCAGGGGGCGTCCGTGAGGCTGTTCACCGGGCACCGCGGGCCCGTGCTGTCGCTCGCCTTCTCGCCCAACGGCAAGTACCTGGCCTCGGCCGGAGAGGACCAGAGACTGAAGCTGTGGGACCTGGCGTCCGGCAGCCTGTTCAAAGACCTGCGGGGTCACACTGACAGCATCACCAGCCTCTCCTTCAGCCAGGACAGCAGTCTGGTGGCCTCCGCCTCCATGGACAACTCGGTGCGGGTGTGGGACATACGCAGCGCCCACGGCAGCGCCCCCACCGACGGCTCCAGCAGCGAGCTGATTGGACAGTACACGGGCAGCACTAGCAACATCCTCAATGTGCAGTTCATGGCCTGCAACCTGCTGCTGGTGACGGGCACTGCGCTGGAGAAACAGGAACAGTGAGAATGTGTGTGTGTGGGTCAATCTCAACAAAACACGTCCGGGTCATATTTCACCCCAAAATCATCAGATGAAATAATTAGGACTAATTCGGGATAATTGGGTCACTCAATGGCAAAATGCGTCCCAGTTTACCTGAATTCACCTTGTAAGTAAAATAAAGCCATTTAGCACCATAAATGATCTTTTTGCATTGTGACGTTATTTCTATAAAAAAAGTTCTTATCACTGTAATGCAAAAAACAAAAAAAACAATGAGATGCTATTTGAATGGTAAAGTATTTATCAGGGTGGTATTTGTTGTATTGCCCTTAATTTGTTGATTCAGCTAAATAATTAAGCACTTAAGTTTCTTTTCTTTAATGCATCTAGACGTTTTGCAATAAAAAGGATAATTGTTAATAGATCAGTGGTGTGATAAAGTAACTGAAATAATTCTGCATAAATGGAAAAAGTAGTTCAATAAATATTTATAAATTCATAATTTGCAGTATTTTTTTAAAATAGGAAGTACAACAAATACTACATTGATTTCCATTTATTATTATTACAATAAGAATTTGGGTGACAATTGGCCTACAATTAATGGCACAACACAAACAATCTTAATAGGCTTTATTTTCTTCTAGTTTTAGTTTTTTTGGTAAATATGGCCTGGACATGTTCTTGATGGGTTTTCGTGAGATTCCCCCGTTGTGTTTTGTAAAGTGAGAGTGTTGGTGATGTTTTGGCTCATTTTTGTTATGATGTATGTTGATGCCTCTAAAGGACAGAGGTGCAGCCTGCTGTTTTCATAGAGATGTAAATATTAGATATTATATTTTTTCCTGAAAAAAGTTAGCTCATTATTTCCATGTTTGTATCTTTCAGTTCAACTCATTTCTGTTGTACCGTTGCTGTTGTTTTGTTGATGGCATATGTTTATAAAGGTAATTCTGAAAGTACATCCAACACTTCTCCTGGACATTCACCAGGAAGCCAGATAAACTGGATACATCCTACTTTGGATGGGAAAAACCGTCCTGATGAAGCAACATCAATACCTTCATCCTAGCTTTTATTCCCGCAATCACTAGGGATTGAGTTTAGTTTTACTACAACAAAAACTTCCCCAGGAAAGCTCAAGAAAAAACAAATGATTAATTTAGATGCCACAGTTTGTCTTTTGTAGCCTGTTGAACAGCTTAACTTATGGGTGGACTGAATGATGTGTTTCCTTGATTCTGATTTCACAACCCTGCACTTAGTTTTGTACAAAGCAAGTTAAGTTTCTCTGTTTGAAATTTTCTTTTGTGTCCCTGGTGGTCAACAACACAATCATGGGATGTTTGTCTTTACCCGTGAAGAAAAACATGACTTTTGTATTGTTTGCTTCCTTACATTTTTTTTTGCATCATTCTGATATTTGTAAATATATTTTTGTAACATTTCATGGCTGCCTGGATCTCATTTCTGATGTTACCATAGTAAAGTTCTCAAGCAGGATCCGATCCACTTCCTCACACACAGGCGTGGGCTGCTTTCACCCAAACCAGTTCTGCTCTTGATGGGCGTGACGCCAACCTGCCGAGCCTGTCCGTCGGCCAGAGTGGCTGAATTTATCTCATACACACTCAAACACAAGCTTACTGCTCCAGACGAGCGTCACGTCACGAGTGTGCTGTCTGTGGTTTTGGAGCTTGGCTTGCGGCCGGTTTGAAGATGCCCTACAGTGTGACTCTGCCGAGTGGTTCTAAGCAGGCGGCCCTAGTGGAGAGCACACAAGCGGACGGAAAGACGTTTGAACAGCTCCGCCAGGAGTGTTTGCAAAGGGGGAAGCTGTTTGAGGATCCAGATTTCCCAGCTGTGGACGACTCGCTCTTCTACAGCCAGAGGGTCCCGGTTAACTTTGAATGGAAGAGGCCCGGGGTAAGTGACCCGCAGTATGCATGATGCTGCAAGATGACATTTACGCTCATTTTTGACACCTGGATAAGGTGCATGCAGTAATTAGAGTAGGATGAATTGGGTAATCTGGCACATTTATGCATTTTTGACTGGAATAAGTTACTGCAAAATCAACCAACACTTGATCACCCAAATAAATGAGATGTCACTCGCATGACAAACCAGCTGGATTTGATGGAGCAAGATCTCATAGTGTAGTGGATAACCCTAAATGTTTTTTTTCTTTCGTATAAATTGGCACTACAGAGGGAAGTGTGGGTGAATTTGATGGGGTCCGATGTAATCTATATAGCATAAAGTTGACAAATGTGTGGAACTATCTTTATCTCAATACTAAAGTATAGGACAAAATTCTGAATTCAGTCACTTATCTGGCAGAAAAGGCACTAAATAGTGCCCTAACTGCTCATTTTATATTCAAAGGGCATTTATTAATGTTTAAAAAATCCTGTTTTTGGATGGGGTGAGGCATTTCCTTCTCTGTGATGCTCCTCATGTTCATTTATGGATGGATGTTAGATGATTTTTATGGTTAGTAATTACTAATGGTTTCCCTGAAGTATTACGTACATTCCAAATTCGATTTTTGACCTTTATGACACATGACTTCTAATTTTGTGTACAATTTGCATATTTTAGAATGCGATTATGGCACTTTAAAACCCGTCATGCAAGTTTTCAGAATAATTCCAGGCCTCAAATCAACCAGGCTGCTCGCCTTATGAACACACCAGTGCTCTATTGCCTGACATTTCACCTTCCTTCGAGTGTCAATGTGTAACATCGAAACAGAGGTCATATTTGTGCATAAAGTACTTGTCATGAAGCCATGCAGCAGGTCAGGAATGCAAATGGAATTGTGGCATGCACAGAATGCGCATTGTTTATTTAGTCTTGAGTGATCGAATGGAAAGTGGTTGTGGAATGTAGGTTTTATTCAGTTGGAAATAGACTACTGGGTTGAGTTTAGAGAACAGGTTATCAGTGGTGACAAATGATATAAGAGGATCCACACCCCTCTTTCACGCTTGTAAAACTTTAAGGACCTCTGAATGAAACTACATCTGCATTTCATTCCAGGGCGTTCCTGCAGAGCGACCTTAGATATGCAGCGCGTGAAGAGTGTGGGCTTGTGTTAGAATGCAAACACACCTCACACAGGCATCATGGGCGTTCACACGTCTCCCTCTGTCTCTAATCAACCACTTCATTAGATCTACAGTAACGGCAGATCATGTGATGTGTTGTACCTTCTCGAAATGTCCTTAAAAATAGTTCAAATTTAAAATGCTGTTGTACAAACGACCTACAGTAACCAACTCTTCTGTCATTATTGCATCCAAAACATTTCTAAAAATGGATGGATGGTTTTTGATCTATTGATTTTTTTTTTGATCTGTTTAAATTCAGCAAATCTGCGAGGTGGATGGATAAATGGATAGCGTAACGGATGGACATTATGTTATTTGATTTGACCGACTGATATTTTTCCCTGATCTGTTCAAATTCAGGAAATCTGCAAAGACCCAAAATTCATCACAGGAGGAGCCACCAGGACAGACATCTGTCAGGGGCAACTGGGTATGCTGTCCTGTCATTTCAGGTTACTCAAGTGGTTTATGACTAAATGAAACCCAAATCTGAGCAAAACACTTCCAATGACCAAAGAATAAAATGATGCATCAGTGTTGGGGAAAGTTACTTTTAAAAGTGATGCATTACGATAATTGCTTTACTCCATGAAAAAGTAACTAATTGCGTTAGTTACTCTTTATGAAAAGTAATGCATTACATTACTTTTGCGTTACTTTTTGTCACCTGGGCTGATCTTGCTTATTTGTTTTTAATAACAAAAACCCCCAAATTTATATTTTTGGCAACTTTAAGGGCCCTTTCACACCAAAAGTGAAAAGTGAAACACCAAAAGCTCTGTCTCTGCACCTCACTCACAATTTCTCTCAACATGTGGACAGGAGAAATGTCAGTGATAAATGGGGGAAAAAAGTAACTTATGCTACTTATTTGAAAAAGTAACCTGATTACGTAACTTGTGTTACTTTTATAATGCGTTACCCCCAAAACTGTGATGCATTAATACTGATCATAATATGATCTCCATGCATGTATGACCATGCAGGAGACTGCTGGTTGTTGGCAGCGATTGCCTCCCTGACCCTCCATGAGGACACGCTGAGGAGGGTCGTACCACATGATCAGGGCTTCGATCGCGGCTACGCTGGAATCTTCCATTTCCAGGTGAGTCCCACTCTCTGAACACTCTACAATTTCCCAATGACCTTGACCCCTAACCAAACTCACCCTGTTGTGCAGTTCTGGCAGCATAATAAATGGCTGGATGTGGTGGTGGACGACCGACTCCCGTGTGTGAGGAGCAACCTGGTGTTCGTCCACTCCGCTGACCAAACTGAGTTCTGGAGTGCACTTCTGGAGAAGGCCTATGCCAAGTATGCACTTGAGTTTACAAAACAAGATACGCCTTGACGTCTTGTCATATCTAGCTTTGAGGCGTCAAACCTGTTTGTGTAAGTCAATCATCTCCTGTGCGTCTCTCACAGGCTGAACGGCAGCTATGAATCCCTGAAAGGAGGAAGCACCATGGAGGCGATGGAGGACTTCACGGGCGGCGTGGGCGAGATGTACGAGACGAAGAGCCCCCCCAGCAACCTCTTCCTCATCCTCAAGAAAGCCGTGGAGAGAGGATCAATGCTTGGCTGCTCCATCGATGTAAGCGAAGCTTTGTTGGACTCAAAGTGAGATGTATAGCACATTCTGTTGTTTCTGAATTCCAGATGATTGTTTTCGTATCACTAGATCACAAATTCTGCTGAATCTGAAGCCCAAACCACTACTGGTCTGGTTAAAGGCCACGCTTATTCCATCACTGGAGTAGAGGAGGTAACAACAGCAAACCTCATTCAAGCGAGATGTTAATTGTCATCATCTCTCTTTTTTTGCTCAGATTCACACTTTTATTTTGTCTTTATCTCTTTCATCTTGTGTCCTCAGGTCAACTACAGAGGAGCAAAGGTCCAGCTGATTCGTGTTCGTAACCCCTGGGGTCAGGTTGAGTGGAACGGACCCTGGAGCGACAAGTAAGCGTCCACTAATGGTGACACCTGAATGAAGTCCATTTATTAAATGTGACCCTGGACCACAAAAGCAGTCTTAAGTAGCACGGGTATATTTGTAGCAATAACTAAAAATACATTGAATGGGTCAAAATTATCGATTTTTCTTTTATGCCAAAAATCATTAAATAAATCAGATTCCAAAAATTACGCACTTGTAATTAGTGATAAAGATCATGTTCCATGAAGATATTTTGTAAATTTCCATTTACACCATTTCCATTTACACTACCATAAATATATAAAAACTTTTTAGTTAGATTAGTAATATACATTGCTATGACCTTTATTTGTACAGCTTTAAAGGCAATTTTCTCTGTATTTTTTTGCACCCTCAAATTCCAGATTTTCAAATAGTTGTATCTCGGTCAAATCTTGTCCTATCCTAACAAACCATACATCAATGGAAAGCTTATTTATTCAGCCTTCAGATGATGTATAATCTCAATTTTGAAAAAATGTACCCTTATGACTGGTTTTGTGGTCCAGGGTCACAAATATGATCAAAAACTCATAATAGTAATCAGTAAAAAACATCATACAGATTTTGTGTCATTACCTATGTTTCCAACCAATTCTTAATGCGAATTTTGGGAGATTGCATGAAAAAAGCTGGATGTGAACAGCAAGACCTAAAATCCTAAACTGTGCATAAAAAAACGTTCAAATGAGGTGGATAATTTTTTTCAATTCAATAAGAAAACATGCGGATAAACTATGATGGAAACACATTTACCAAATAAATTCATGGATGCACAAAAAACTCACGTGACTTTGCCTCAACAGATTGTAAAATCCAAATGATTTGGTATAATTACTTCCTAGAACTGCGTTCCCAAACATCAAGCATCCACTTCCAAATGCAAGATAACATGACAGCGATTGTTATTGCATTTCGTCTGTGTGCACTGAGGGGCAAGTCATTTATTATGTAGGAAAAAAGAGCCACAGGCTTCCCCAATTGAGGCAACTTTTTATTATTTCATTACTGATCTTTCTTTAAATCTCATCTTTCAGCTCCAGGGAATGGAACGCCATTGACAGTTCAGAGAAGACACGACTCCTGCACAATTCCCTGGATGATGGCGAGTTCTGGTACGTACGACCCATCAGATATCGAGTCCAGTTCACACAAGACTGATTCCTCATTAAGAGTCACTTTCACATGAGAATCAGTATGATCTGATTCAGTGAGCTCATTCAGATGTGTGGTGTGAACTAACATGATTTGTTGTGTTGCAGGATCGAGTTTGGGGACTTCAAAGCCAACTACGATAAAATCGAGATCTGTAACCTGACCGCAGATTCTCTGTCGGACGATGTTAGGAAGAAGTGGGAAGTGAATTTGTTTGAGGGCAACTGGATCAGGGGCTCTACTGCTGGCGGCTGCAGGAACTACATCGGTCAGTGTCACGTAGCAAACTTCACATAGATTTCATCATAAAAGTTTGCATGCTAATCCATGCTGTTGATTATACACGAGGCCCAGCATTTTCACTATTTAGAGTTGCTTAGGCCTATATTTGTGTTCTTCTTGATCTCAATTTTCCCTTCTCAGACACATTCTGGACAAACCCGCAGTTTAAGCTTCGTCTGGACCATCCAGATGATGGAGACAAGCTGTGCAGCGTCATTGTGGCCCTGTTGCAGAAGAACCGCCGTCGGCTCAGGAAAGAAGGGCTTGACCTGGAGACCATTGGCTTTGCCATTTACGATGTGAGAGAAATATAATGCTGTATTGGAAGATGGGTTTGGAAAACTTCTTGTAGTGCCTCTCGCTCCACTGAAGTCTGACCTGCTCACTTACTGTACCCATAGGCTCCTGATGATCAAGACCACCAGGGGAAGGACTTTTTCCGTTACAATGGCTCCAAAGCACGGAGCCGTTCTTACGTCAACATGAGGGAGGTGTCCGAACGCTTCAGAATGCCGCCAGGAAACTACCTGCTGGTGCCCACCACCTTCCAGCCGCACCATGAGGCCGATTTCCTAATCCGGATCTTCTCAGAGAACAAAGCTGGAGCCATGTATGTCCATGCAAATACTCTCCAGTGTTATCAGCCACACTGTAAAAAAAAAAATCTGTGACATTTACGGTAAAATACCGGCAGCTGTGGTTGCCAGAACTTCACCGTAAAAAATATGGTAGCAACATTTTAGGTTTTACAGACTTAACTTAAATTCACAATAAAATACCGTATTTCATTAACTGATGTAATGTTAATAAACCAACATATTGAAGTACTAATATCTGTTTTGAACCATTGTAAAGCACTGATAACCACCAAAAACTGGTGGTGATGAGAAAGTCACATGATGAACCAAAGCTCATCACAAACAGCTTTTCTACGAGCTGAGGAGGACAATACTTATATATAGAAGGTGCACACAGTGTCATTCACACAAACACTAAAGCCCATCATGGTGACACACATGATACTGAAATAATGCTATAAACATTAATTTAACAACATTAGATGTAAGATTAAACCCTAGTGTACACAACTGATAAGAAAAAACTAAGAAACATGTTATTTCAACAAAAAAACATCAAATATTAAGTGTCATGCAGGGAATTCTGGGAGTGTCAATTTACGGTTTTTCACTGTAAATTATACAATGACTTTTTCTTTTTCACTTCCAAAAACCGTATTTTTAACAGCATTTTACTGTAAAATTACATTAAATTTAATTACATTCATTCACCAAATATAGTATGGAAACTTTCTGTTAACCAGTTTTTTTTTACTGTTAAAATCACAATCATTTTTTTACAGTGCAGATTTTAAAACAAAATTTCACCTAAAAACAAAAGTTTACTCACAGTTACTCATGTCTCCCAAAACTCAAATGCTGTTATTTTTTCTGTGACCACAAAAGGAGATAAAAAAAAATAAAAAAATAAAAAATTCTTCATGCAGCTCTTTTCATAGTGAACATGTCCAGAAAACACAAAAATGCACCATATAAGTATTATGAAAGTAGTTTAAACGACTCATAGCATTGTATTGCACTATACGTCATATAACTTTGTTTGATGGACAGACCGAAAGGCATTAATCACAAATAATCTTAGTGTGTGCATATGTGTGTATATATGTATTTCACTGGCAGTCTAAAATATATGATCATCACTATATTCATATATATGTATTATATATAACTATAGTGAACTATAGTGCTTCAGTGCATTTTGGAAATACAGTATATTTCCATAAAATAAAACTCAAATAACAGAAACTAACATTTATTATTAGTCAGATGGTGGTCAGTGAGGTAGTATACTCAAATGTATACTCATTATATCCCGTAGATTTATTTTTACACCAAATAACTGTACAATGTAATGTGTTTTGTGTTTGCAGTGAGATGGGAAACACCATTCAAGCAGATCTGCCAGATGTGAGTCGGTTCATGGTTCATTTTAGAGTCTCTCTGCGAGCTGGGAAAGACTCGTTTACTGGACATAAATAGTTCGGCATGTACTGATGTTGTGTGTGTGTGTGTGTGTGTGTGTGTGTGTTTCTATCTGATCTGTGAAGCCACCCAAGCCGAACCCACCTGAGGAGGAGACAGATGAGGAGAAGGGCCTGAGGAGACTGTTTGAACAGATCGCCGGATCGGTAAGAAACACAAAACTCCAGTCAACCGTCTACCGCAGAGTGTCGGAGAAAAACTAATAATTAACTAAATCCTAAAAATTTGAAATTAAAATAAACAATTCAAAAATAAAAACAATCAAAATATAAAAAGCTTAAGAAAAGTATTTTATTTTTTTACTTGCATGTCATGCGACCATTAACCGACATAAGAGCAAATGTGCCAATCACGCGAGAGTGCAGAGCTGGGTAGTTTTTATTTTTATTTTTATTTTTTTATGAAAATAGAACAAATAACAAACAGAGCATAGCATAAGACAGTCAGTGCTATACAAAGTGTGACATTAATTAGTAACGGGAACGGAAAATAATGTCATAATATTTTAAACATGTTAATGACTTTTTGTTTTGTAACAATTTCAGAGAAGATATAAAACAATCAAATTCCACTAAAAATACTTTAAATATTGGGGTTGAATTTAAGCAGTTTTGTTTATGTATATAAAATTTTGCCAGCAATGTGAATAAATTAACAATGTATTCAAGACCTTTGTTAACATTGTTTTCATAGTACACAATAATATCCTTTAAAGAAAAACAGTATTTATCCTTTACTAGATTAAAAATAAATTCTGCCAATTCCTTCCAAACATTGTGGGTAATTTTACAATCAAAAAATAAATGTGATAACACCTCTTTCTTATTTTTACAAAAGGAGCATAAATCATCAATATCAGAGTATCTTGAAATTATTGCTTTAACAGGGTAGATTTCTTTAGTTTTGTTATTGATACAATATTTAAAGGGGATTAACCAAGCAGTCTTCCACTTAATATTATCAATAATAGAGTTCCAAAAGAATTTTCCTCTAGGTGTTATTTTATTTTGTTTTTGGAAAACAATACAAATATGTTTGTTATTGCATTTTTTATCAATCAGTTCAAGACCGTTTTAAAATTAATTTTGGTTTTGTCAGTATTGTAGAGTTATAGTGAATATGACTTTTAACAAGATGAACAAGAGTAAGAGGAATAGCTTTAGCAGAGCTGGGTCAGTAACTGGATTACGTAATCAGATTCCAAAAATAAAGTTCTTGTAATTAGATTAAATTACATTTTAAAATACTCGTAATCAGACTACAGTTATTTTTACATGATTACATATTATTCACACAATAGCAATAAATTATTCATAATTTATTGATTCTCCCTAATTCTTCTTTTTCATCTTTTGATTTTTCCTTTCTAAAATAGCCTACTGCTTATATACACTCAGAAAGTCTTCCAGTTTTGTGGACCTTCACATAGACTCGTCATTAGTCAGGTGGCTATACAGCATTTGACCACTGGATTTACTGAAATCATTTCAGGTTTAAGAAGTGTTTCAACATTGCATCAACTACTGATGAACACGTTCATTTTTATTTGAATTATCACTCCGTAGGTTATTTAACCATGCATTAGAAGGCTTTTGTCTTTCAAACACATTAAAATGCAAAAATTCACGTTGTTTCTTATTTACATGTAATGCAGACATTCCCAAACTTTTTGTCATCTGAACCTCTTTCTCCTAATATATTTACTTGAAGTACCTCTGAGATTTTAAACTAAATATTTAATAATTAAGTATCACATTTGCATGTTCACGGTTAATGGTCACATGGCATGCAGGTAAACACAAAATGTAATCTTTTTTAGTAAATGTTTTATTTTGATTGATGTTATTTTAAAATGATTTATTTTAATTTTACATTTTTATGATATAATTAATTTTTATCTTTTCATTAAACTCACAAACCCCCTGCAGTTCCTTTACAAACCCCAGTTTGGGAAACCTCGATGTAATCTAATGTTTAATGCACTTCATGTTGTTAATTACAATGAATAGAATATATTTTCTTACTCTTTGTATTTTTACATCATTATGGTACAGGATTATACTATTTAAAACAATATGATGAATGAGTTAGGTCAAAAGTAATCTAAAGGAAATCAAAAAGTAGTCTGATTATATTACCTAAAATGTGTAATGTAATAGATTACGTTACTAACTACCATTTTTGTCCTGTCATTTGGAATCAGTAACAGATTACAATTTAATTTGTAAATAATCTACCCAGCTCTGGTGGCGGTGCAGTGATGGCACTTCGATGTTAAAACAGATCGAGCGTGCCCTCGTCTGGTGTAATTGTGAATTACAGTACACTCTAAAAAATGCTAGGTTAAATATAACCCAGCGCTGGGTTACAAAGGGACAAACCCAGCTATTGGGTTGTTTTGACCCAGCGGTTGGGTTGTTTTGAACCAGCGGTTGGGTTGTTTTGACCCAGCGGTTGGGTTGTTTTGAACCAGCGGTTGGGTTGTTTTGACCCAGCGGTTGGGTTGTTTTGAACCAGCGGTTGGGTTGTTTTGACCCAGCGGTTGGGTTGTTTTGATCCAGCGGTTGGGTTGTTTTGACCCAGCGGTTGGGTTGTTTTGATCCAGCGGTTGGGTTGTTTTGA